CGGCCATTTATAGAGTACGAACCATAGAGCTTCTTCACATTAGTATTGGTAAAGCGGGAACGAATGCTCCACAATGTTAACACCATTTTGTCAAAAACCCTAATGTAAAGTAGATTGTGAGAGGTTGAAGAAAGAAATGGAGGTTGAAGATAAGAATGCAAATGGTTTCGTGAGGGACGATATTATAGTTGGGATCAAGGACGAGAGTGTAGGCTTCATTATGGGAGCCCCTTTGGCGGTAACAAGTGAAAGGTCGAAAATGCCCCCCTATAACGGAGGTATGTTGAAGACATTAAAGCTAAGGACCATCTGTGTAGGCTTTGGAAATGTTAGGGAAAGCCGGTATTACCCTAATGAAAGATATCCTTAACTTGCCACTTTTTACAAACCACAAGGACCATTTTTAAAATTTAGTCTAGATTTTATATTGGCGTATTCGTAGACAAAAAATATTCTATGTGAAAGTTTATTTAATTAAGAATTTGATATATTTTAGCAAACCAATTAGCAAAAGTCTTGGAATTCCGTACCTATAAGCGGGTCAACACTTCTAATCTCTTTGGGAGGTTCAGCTTACACGTGCTTGCTGTAACGGGAGATCGTGCATTACAATTTATAAGAATAATTTAAAGAAAAAAGGTTTAAAATTACTCGTCCATCTTAAATTAAATGTGAAAGTTTAACCACACATGTTATAATGGATAAAACTTATCAGAATAAATTTTAAAGAAACATAACGTCATCTAAAATCTCCATACTTTCTATAGTACTTTTAAACTAATTTTTAGTTATTTGTATTACAAATTTATGATTATGATAAATGCTGTTTATTTATAACAAAAGCTATTATTAATTAGTTTATTATAAAGCATCTGAATTTATTATTTAATTATAATTTTATTTAAATATATGTTCGTTGATATAAAAGTTGATTGAATTTGTCTCAAAATTATTTTCTTTTTTTCTTTTTATAAATTTGTTTAAAATTTGTCTCCAAATTAGTTTTTATTTACATATTAATATTTTTCTAGATTTTTTCATAAAACATTAGAACATTTTTATAACTTTTTGTATAACATTTCTAAAAAAACATTGTAATTAATGTTGTTTAAAATACTGTAAAAAGTTGATATTTTTAAAAAAAAATATACATAAAGTTTAAAAAGATTGTATAAAAACATGTAAATATGTTAACAGTTTCAAAATAATTGTAAAAGAAGTATTAAAAAGTTAATCTGTAACAAATAACTAATTTTAGGACGATATTGTAAAAATGTTTATAAAATTTGGAATAGAACATTATCAATATTTTAAACTTGGAACTAAAAGCATAGAATTCTAAAATGACTTGTTGTATAATAGCTTATATAGCAATCAAAAAATGGTTTCCATTTTATATAATAAAACCACTTTGCTCGCAACATGAAAACAACAAATTGGTTTTTCTTTTCTTATAAAAAAAATATAAAAATAACAATGTGAGTTTGGAAAATATAGAAAATTAAATCAACCTTTAAGTATTTACCTAGATGACCATGTTCGAAATTGACAATTTCTTATTTGACTGTGAATTTTTTTTGAAAATATAGAGGCTAGAGTTTTTCTCATTTGCAACAACAATTTCAGATCTGTTCGGATTCCAAACATATTTTTTTTAAAAAAATTAATGCACTTTTTTTTTTTTTTTTTTTTTTTATCTCCGAAATATTTAAATCAAAACCCAAACTCTAAATTCGAAATAGTTTTTAACAAAGTTTACTTTTAAATATGCAAAAAACTAATTTAGTTTGAAACACCACAATTATTATATATAATGAAAAGCGAGTGGTCAATGAATAATATATTTTTGAATTTTATATTTTAGCTACAGTAGTTTTGTATGTTGGCAAATTTAGTTATTATGTAGAAAATAAATTACAAAAAATGTCCTAGTAATTTATAGAAAATATACCTCTTTATTTTTTAATGTTTGAGTTTAAGATTTTTTGCCACTATATTTTTATTGACTTGTTTGGTCCTTGTATAGAAAATAAATTATAAAATTTCTCATCTTTATTTACAAAAAAGATCCCTATACATTTTTTTTACAAAATAGTCTGTTTAAATATTACATTCTTTGGTCTATGTCTTAAATTTTTTTTTTTTAAATATCATTGTCTAATAGAGAATTTAAGATTATTCCATATGAAATGGACATAAATAAACTCGTTCCCAACAAAGATGGAAAGAAGCAATTTGTAGTTCAGAATTAATGGTCATTCGTTAAATTTCAAGAAACTTTGTATTTATATTCTTCAAAAATCATTTGGTTATTTCTATGATTATTTCAAAAAATAATATAAATTAAATAATTAAATAATATAGAAAGAAGACGAGAGTGTGTCTATCTGTACAGTAAAATGTTGCCGGTTGACCACAGACAAAGTCGGTCGTCGCTACGTTGGCGGTAGGCCCTCACTGCTCCCCCCGTCCACACGCGTGCCTTTTACTGTAGCTGCTAAACGACACCGTCTCCTTTGTCTTTTTTAACACCCCCCCTTTCACACTCACAGACCACCAACAAAGATAACATGTGGGTTATTTACATGGGAAAGATTCTCCGTTTATTACTTTTTAGTCCCTAAACTTTCCTCTAATAACATTTGGAACCCTAATTTGCTTTTATTGTTCATTTGGATAGTTCCGATGAGCTTAGTATCACTATATAATTATCATTCCTAATTAACAACTGACATTATTATTAAATACTTAAGAATTATTTGTTTTTTTATAACCCATAGTTCATAAATTTCAAAAGAAGAGGATTTAAAAGAAACTATTGAAAAATAAAAGGGGGTGATCAAAAAAGACACATAACTATAAGGATTCAAATAGCCAATCAATATTTTGGTGGCAAGAACGGTGTTTGGTCAATGCGCAAGGTTTGAGATGCTTCAGAAAGAACAAAAGAGTTTCAGATAATGATATTTAAATATAAAACATGTTTTTAATTTTTCAATGACTTTATGTGTCAACAATTCATATATATATATATATATATATATATATATATATATATATATATATATATATTGTGCATCAATTTGGATTACATTATAAAAGTTTCAACAATTCAAAGACTAAATAACCATTTTTTCCATAAATTTAAAAGAAAAAAAAAACATAGTATTCATCAATTACGTCGGATTCATGAAATTTTCCACCTAAAAGGACTATTGCTAATGTCATTATATATATAATAAAGAAGAAAAAGGAGGAACCAATAGTGAAAGTTGTTTGTTTGGCCAACTGAAGTTTAAAAGTTGTGTCACCCTCGTTTGGTGATTAGCACAAATGACAAGAAACTATAGTTGTAAAGCACTTTCACCATACATTTTAGAAATTATATCTACATTGGAATTACAATGTGTAAGACACCCACACCCACTTATTAAAAAATATATATAATAATTCATGTCCCTTTCCAATAGATTTATACATAATTCTATTGGATTCAAAGATTGAGGCAATCACCCCATCTCTATTCTCTACCTCAATATAGTAACATATTTATTATTTTTTTGTTGGGGATGACATCATCCTTAATTGCATTTTGATTTCTTTTAGACAAACAATGCACAATAAACCAATCAAACTCAACACATTTATTTGAATGGTTGGAAAGACTCTCTTTGACTACATGTGGGATTTTGCAGTGGTCAAAGAAATCAATATAACTTACATTTAATTTAAATATATAGGTAATATAAGAAATGATATATATACATTCCCCAAATATGATTCAAAGATTGCATTTAATTTGGTCAAGAATTTTGAAGTGTCCCAACTCTCCATGTGAGTATGAGATCATCAATTGTTTATAGTTCCAAATCAATCACCTTATATAAATTCAAAAGTGATAAATAGGTTAACCATACACAAAAAAGCTAATAATTGTTGCTTGTAAAAGCATCAAATCTTTTTTCATATCACTTTCATGGGTAATGGTTTTTAAACCATCTACAATTCATTAAATATATTTTGTTATTTGGTGTAAAAAGTAATTTCGATTAACCTCTTACATTATTTTAAAGCCAAACAGTATGTTTAGCTATACTTTTTGCATTTTCAAGATATTTTCACAAAGTTTGTGTGTTTTTATTAAGTTATTAGTATTGTGATATATATTTAAAGTGTGTGGTTAAAACTAATTCATTAGTATTGTAGTATATGTCAGTTATTATGGGTTTTATTAAAATATTTAAGATACATAAATTAATATCATTATATCAATTTAATTAATATTATAAATCCCAAGTAAGTTGTAGAAATTTATTATAAAAATACAAAAATTAAAAGCCAAAGAAAGGATTTATTTGGGATTTGGACATTTGGTATTGGATTGGAAAGTTCATAATAAGGTAGCATATAAACTTTGATGATGTCTAGATTTGAACAAAAAAACAGAATTAAAAATCCAAAAATGATAGAATACTTGAAGGGAAGGGGGAAAAGTGGAGAGATTATGTTGAAAATAGTAATACCCAATAATCCAAAGTTTGAACTAGACACAAATGGGGTAATAAAGAAAGCAAAGAAAAAGTGGAATCCCCTGTTGATGTAAATGGGAGTTAGATGTCCTTACAGCATGAAAGTGGGACCCAATGACCTTTGACCAGACCCCACCCCATTCAAAAACCATGGTTAAGCCTCTAGTTAATGGTTACACACGTGTGGAGAAGGAAAGAAGTACCCATAGTCAGATAAAAAGGGCCACACCTTAACCATTCGTCAAATTCCTACCCAAAACAAAACTCTCCTTCTTCTACAGAGACCCCCCCTGTGTTGGATTTGTCTTTGTCCCTCCCTCTGTTCTATTTGGTATATATTGTCAAAAAGCCAAACCCAAAGATAGAACTAATTCAAGTAGGATTTACGGAGTCCTTTGTGCACATATATATAAACACAGAGATAGGGAAAGAGAAAGAGAAAGATAGAAGAATCTCAAAGGTAAAGAAAACATGCCTGGAAGCTTAGAGCCTTTGGATTTAGGTGTTCAGATCCCATATCATTTCAGGTGTCCGATTTCTCTTGAACTTATGAGAGACCCGGTTATCGTCGTAACGGGTCAGACATACGACCGGCCAAGTATCGAGTCATGGGTGGCCACCGGAAACACCACCTGCCCTGTCACTCGTCTTCCTCTTACAGACTTCACCCTCATCCCTAACCATACCCTACGCCGGCTTATACAGGAATGGTGTGTTGCTAATCGGTCGTATGGTGTGGAGCGGATTCCGACGCCGAAACAACCGGCGGATCCTGTTATGGTCCGGTCCTTACTCAGCCAGGCTGCCTCTGAGTCTAATTCTAGCCATGCCAGGCTGTCTGCCCTTCGTCGCCTCCGTGGGCTGGCACGTGACTCTGATAAGAATCGTTCGGTGATCTCGACGCATAACGCACGTGAAGTGCTGCTTGGTGTGTTGTTCTCGGAGACGAATTCAAACTCATCGGAGTTGAATCTGGAATCGCTTGCGATCCTATCTTCGTTTCCGCTTTCAGAATCGGAGTGTCTGTTGGTGTCATCGGATCCGGATCGGATTTCATACCTAATTTCTCATCTATCGCATTCCTCGATTGACGTCCGAGTAAACGCCGCCTCCTTGCTTGAAAACGTCGTCGCCGGAACGAGATCTCCGGAGAACAGAGCAGAAATCAGCAATCACGACGAGGTTTTCGACCGAATCGTCGGAATTCTCAATTATCCTTTATCATATCCGCGTGCAATGAAAGTCGGAATCAAAGCGTTATTTGCTTTATGCTTGGTGAAACAACACCGTCACAAGGCTGTGGAAGCAGGAGCAGTGGAGGCGCTGATCAACAGACTAGCAGATTTCGAAAAATGCGACGCCGAGAGAGCTCTGGCGACAGTAGAGCTTCTATGCCGAATACCACAAGGATGCGCCGCATTCGCATCTCACGCGCTCACAGTACCATTACTAGTCAAAATCATCCTGAAAATATCCGATCGAGCAACAGAGTACGCAGCCGGCGCACTGCTGTCACTCTGCTCGGCGGCGGAACGGTTGCAGAGGGAGGCGGTGGCGGCGGGAGTGTTAACACAGCTGTTGTTGCTCGTACAAAGCGATTGTACAGAGCGTGCAAAGCGAAAAGCGCAAATGCTGTTGAAACTGCTCCGGGATTCGTGGCCGGAAAAATCGATTAGGAATTCGGATGATTTTGCGTGCAGCGACGTCGTTCCGTATTGATTCTTCTACTTCTTCGGATGATTTTAGTCCACTCTTTTTATTTCATTTTTTTCTTAATTAGTTTTTTTTAGGAAAAAGAAAAAAAAGAGCATTAAGGTTCTAAAAGGTGGTGGTGGGGTATAGGGATGTGTATGTAAGAAATTTTTGATGGTGGGAATGTTTTTTTGTAATACAAAACTTGAAGGTGCAAATTTCCTTTTCCTATATATGCTTCTAATTTTCATATACGCACAAATTTTTTATTTTCATATATTTGTGTAGATATTGATATTTATCGTAACACTAATCTTCTTATTCTCATAAATGAATATATTTATTCTTTTATTGACAAATGTTATAATATTAAAACACTCCATTAATATTATATGTCATCTATCATGTCATTTGTCAACTTACTAATATTCAACTAGTTGTGATACCGGTATATACAGGTTGATTAAAACAAAATGTTAAATACAAATGATTAAACGGAAAGTTTAATTGAATTTGAAATTTGAAATAAGTAAAATTATGAAGAAAAAAAAACATGAAAAAATTAAATTAAAATAATGTGTTTAGTTGTTAGACCCGTGTATTAAATGTGTTACTTATAACAAAATGTTAAATACGAAGGTTTCAGTTGTAAATTTATTTAAAATTAAAATTGAAGTTTTAAATTTGAAATTTAAAATTTGAAACTAATATAGTTATTATGGTATGTTTAATTTATAGAAACTAAATTAATGATATATTAAGAAATGAAAAATGAATTAAATAACAAGTGGAAAATAAATATCTCAAAATTATGACAAAATGACATGTACCATAATTCATGAGAGAATGAAATGTGGCAAAATTATTTTCATTTATTAGGTAGGATGTTTAATTTATAGAAACTAAATTAATGATATATTCAAAAATGAAAAATAAATTAAATGACAAGTGGAACATAAATATCTCAAAATTATGACAAAATGACATGTGACATAATGCATAAATTATGACAAAATGACATGTGACATAATGCATGAGAGAATGACATGTGACAAAATTATTTTCATTTTACTAGGTAGGATTTCAAATTTCAAAATTTAAATTTCTCATTTTAATTATATTAAATTAATAATTGATTCTCCATTTTAAATGTTAAATTTTAAATTTGTATACTTTATTTATATTAAATTAATAATATTAGATTAAAAAATAAAATAAAATTAATACAGATTATAAGGTGATATAACTTCACGTATTTATTTAAATCAACGATTATAATTTTATATAATTAAAAAAGATATCTTAAGTAATAATTTATTTAAAATAATTAATTAATAATTTTGATTTTTTAATATGAAAGTTTAATTAATTTTATAACCGTGGCTTTCACGGCTTATAAACTAATAATAATAATAATAATAATAATAATGGTCTTTAGTTTGGATACAAAATTATGTCATGTGAAACTTTTTTTTGTGATTATGCTAAAAATTAGTAAAAGAATGATTTCTTTAAAGTTAAATTAACTTTATGTAAGGTTTTTAAAGAGTACTTTTGATTTAAAAGTTATATAAGGTTTTAAAAATGAATTTTTAAAATTAAAGGTATACATAATAATCAAATTAGATACAACCAGAACGCATAATGGGTTGAATTTTTGTAATGTCTTATCACATTTTAGGTCGTTTGTCATATGCATTTAACCAGTAAAATGGAAAGAATGTGGTAGGAGAATTTGTTTCAAATCATTTATTATGTAACAGTATGTTATTCATGCAAGTTGTGGATATTTTTTTTATGTAGGTGGGGAAATATTTATCATTGTCATAGACACAAATAAACGAATATATATATGTTAACTTTTCACCATATATTCGGTACAAGAATGTGTCTATTGTTCTAAAAATATATATAAAAGTATATCTTTTTTAGCTGATAGTAAAGTAGAATGCATAAACTTTTGTTTGTGCATCATGGTTTAGAGATACATATAGTCAAATATGACATATAAATGCCAATCAAATTTATTACATTAAAGATAAATAATTTATCATATCAAAAGTAACGATCTCTAAAAAATGAAAATTGGATAGCTAATATTTTTGACATGTGAGAAATGATTTAAAATGTTACCATGATTTCACCTTGAAATCATGAGTTGACGAAACAACTTAAAAGGACATGGAGTGAAATCTTTTATGATGAAAGTAAAAATAGGTTGGTTAAGAACTTTCCTTCGACTCAAAGACATGTTTATATGAAAAATAAAATTGATAAATAATTTCGATTATAGAAATTTTTTAGATCGATAAATTATACATTTTATATACGATTCAGATTTGACGCTGGCTGGAAATCTTATAAATTACTTTATCAATAATATATCTTAAGTAGGTTATCAAAAAACTAACTTTTAAGCTTTTATAAACTACTTTTGTGGTTTTTTTTATAGCTTTTAACTTATAAACTAGTTTATCGTTAAACTATCTTAAATAGTTTATGAAATAGCTAGTTTATGTATGTTAAATATAACACAAATTTTAAATTGTGATAAACTCAAAAAATAAGATAACATATACGTGCCAAACATACCCTTAATCAAAATTTTGTTAATTTTATAAAGTAATTATAGAACGAAATCTGAAATTTATATCTAACGGTAAAATAAATATAAATTATAATACCATAATTTAAAATTTAATTTAATTTTAATTTAAAAAACATATATTCCAAATAGCAAAAATAATTTTCTTTTATACGGTCTAAGTTATTTTTAGTCACTGAACTTATTTGAGTTTTTTTTATTTTAATCATTATATTTTATTTAAGCTATCATTGGTCATTAAAATTATTAATTTTTTCATTTTAATCATTATTTATTTTTTTCATTTTAGTCATGTAACCGTTGATAGCTGGTTTATAACATGGAACAACTTCGTCAAAGTTATAATTAATCATTGAACTTTTCTAAATATTTTATTTTAATCATTATACTTTGTTTAAGTTTACCATTAGTTAGTGGACTTGTTTAAATTTTTCATTTTAGTCACTCTACTTTATTATTACTGTTTATAAAAAAATAAAAATAAAGAAACTACTATTTTTTTCATTTTCTCAACAACTAAATTTGTTATCAATAATATTAGGGTAAATTAAACAAATGACCCCAGTGATTTATGATAGTCTGCACATTTAGACCTTAACTTTTTTTTAACTCGGATGGTCCCCATGACTTTAAAAAGACTATTTTGTCCTCCTCCACCCTATTGCTTTTATCGTCAGTTAAATGCACCCAATCACTGTTGATAATTAATTTCACTTTAGCATACTCCACCCTCTGCATTTTCTTGTCATTTTGATGTCTATAACGGTAAAGCCATCTTGATTCTTTCCTTACCCGCATTCTCTTTGGTCTAACTTGTTCGTGTTTTCATTTGTCTCATACAAAAACATTGCCCTTGTGCGTTGAAGGGGCATCGAGTCCCCTAATTCGAGCTCCTGGAAGAAGATGTATACTTGTTCGTGTTTTCAATTGATTCACACATACCAAGATATTATCCGCTTTAGGCCACACGATACGAAGACTTCCCAGGGTCACCCAAAGTGAAACTGATTTTTTCATGGTAATTGGGTGCGTTTCGACCGACTACAAGAGCAATGGGGTGGATAAGGGAAAAATAGTCTTTTTAAAGCCATTAGGATTGTAACTTAAACAAAGTATAATGACTAAAATAAAACACTCATAAAAGTTCAATGACTAATTATAATTTTGATAACGTCGTTTGATATTATACATCCACTAGCTATCACCGAAATAAAACACTCGGAAATGTCCAGTGACTAAAATGACCGCAAACCTATTTTATATAACTTTTAATACAAATGATTCGATCATCAAATTACCATATACAACAAGAACTAAAAGACAAAATTGCAAAAATGGTCGTTGTGGTATGCATTTTTTCTGAGTTTGGTCCAAACCTCGACTTTTTGGATTAATGATCCTTTTTGAGCTAGTTTCGTTGCGTATTTGGTCAATTCTAATAATAAAATGACTGTAATACCCTTGGGGTATTTATTTTTCATTTTTCTTTTATTTTTTAAAAATCTAATATTTACTTAATTCGAAATTCTGCCCGGTTTGAGCCGGTTTTTCGTCAAACAAACTCTTTTCCAGGAAACGAAACGCTGCCCGAATCACCGCTTATCAAGTGAGTTCATACCCCTATAATTTACCTTTTCAATGGTTTTTAAATGCTTTTAAGGGGGGGGGGGGAGTACAAGTTTAACACAATAATAAATTGTGTTAATAATTGTGTGTGATAATAATCATACAGAAAGTTTCCGTATGCTTTTAAGAATTATCAAATACTTTCAAAATAACGTGAAGCCAGGTTAAATCTTTAAAGTCATGTAAAAACTCTTTTAAAATTCTTTGAAAAATGTTTTATAAGCTATTTCAAAGTATAAATGCCAAAATCATGTTTATATATGTATAAATATATAAATAAGATTTGAAGGGCTTAGGACTAATGAATTATCCTATATCCTTTTCCTCGTTTGGATGTGGAATTAGGGTTGTGTTATTTGTCCGAAGGTCGTTTCCTTCTTAATTATATATATATTATACATATATGAGTCTAAAAGGCTACTCCTTTTAGTATCATTACCTTTGTATCAGGTTGAGCAAAGGTGATATTCCATAAGAATTCATGCTAATCAGATAGAACATATAAATTATAATAGGTATAATTTATGATTCAAAACTAAATATACAAGTATGATTCACGACTGTATACTTCCCAAGGAAATTACCAAAATTCATTCAACTATACCAAGATATGTATAATACCTTTAATATACGAACAACATATTAAAGAAGTAAAGATACATCATACCTAGTTTGCATTAACAAAGGTACTATACAGAGTACCAGGGTTAGCAAACACGTGGTAATGTCGGGTTTGCATTAGCAAAGGTACTATACAGAGTGCCCGAGTTAGCAAACACGAGGTAATAATACATCC